GTCATTGAGCCCCTGTGGGGGTGCTGGGGCAAGAGCAAGGGTCACTGGGGCCCTGTGGAAGGGCAGGCTCTGCTGGGCCCCTGTTAGGAAGTGCTGGGGTTGGGGGCAGGGACCGCTGGGCTCTTGGGGGGGGCCGTGGAGGAGAGGCCAGGGCTGTGGGGGCAGCACCAGGCACCCAGGCCTGTGCAGGGGTGAGGAGGGTGGGGGTTTGCGGGGTGCTGGTGCCGCTGTGCGCAGCAGAGCGACACGAGGGCCCTGTGCACCCAGCGCTTCCTCGACACGTCCTGGCCACAGGCAGGGGGTCGCGGCTTGCAGGGCGGCTCCTGCCTGGGTTCGCCTGGATCTCAGCCCCTGGAGGGAAGAGCCTCGTTCCCAGGGAATGAGTTCAAGGTTGTTATTTCCTGGCCATTGAGATGGAGCAAGAAAAGTAACTGGTTTCTGGTGCTTCTAGCCCAACTGGGTATCAGGTGACTACTGAGTTTGCTGCTTCCTTACTTACTGCTGCATGGTTCCTGTCTGTGGTAGTGGGACTTCAGACTTGTACCCAGACGGCTTGATGTGTTTGGTAAAAGTCTCCAGGGCAAGTGCAGCTGAATTTCTTCGGTGTTTACGTGGTTCAAGCTTAGATGCTTATTACCCAGGCAGTGGCTTCAAAGTGATGGGTTGCTACAGCAGCCTCGGTGCTGCTGAGGGATGCCGCCTTGACAGCACGGCTGTCCTTCACTTGAAGTCTTTCCCTGTGCTCTCAGATGGCTGCTAGATTGAGGCTGCTTGTGCTCTTCCTGTTGGACCAGGCCTCTCAATCTGTCACTCATCACTGGCACTAAAATATTAATTGAAAAGGACTCCAGAAAAGAAGGAGATATAAGAAGGCTCCTCGTGCCACCTTCCCATGCCCTTTGCTTTCCTAGCCCCGCTCTTGTCCTGGAGACTTAGCGTAACTTGGACATATTCTGTTTCCCTCTGATGAAGTGCCTTTGGTTTTTGGCAGGTATGTGGTGCTGACCACAAAGCATCATGAAGGCTTCACAAACTGGGGGTCGCCAGTGTCCTGGAACTGGAATTCAGTAGATACTGGGCCCCATCGAGACCTAGTAGAGGAACTGGGACAGGCTCTCAGAGACAGGTATGGCACTGATGTGGTAAATACTAGTGGAGTTCTTACATTTCATATCTTGAGAACCACCATCTTAAATTAGCAGTCCATTGGCCACTCCTGATTCTCATTCATAAACTCTTGGAAGTCATCTACCTAATGACAAAAATGGCATTGCCTGTGAACTAGAGAATATCCTGTAAATGTGTAATCTCCTCCTGTTTCCCCATGCACAATAAAAATTGACATGACATGCTTGTACAGGGTGGATTCAAGGTTCACTGAGCAGGGTGGAGGTGGGAGTCTGACACCCTGGGATAGGTCTCTGATTTTAGTACTAACACTTTATGACCTTGGGCGAGTCGCTCGACCTCTCTGCTGCATGTTGACGGGGGACAGCAAATGTGTCCACCTTTTATGAAGTATCTTTAAGATTCATGAATGACAGTGTCTAAAGTAGAATCAGTCATGAGTGCTACAATAATATATTCTTGTCTCAGTTCCTCCCTCTGGTATTGCTGCATATTCACTTCACTGCACTTTTAAGGCATGCAAGTTTTCATCTCAAACTAGTACTTTTTGGTAAACCTAACTTTTTGTCACTTTCTTTAATCTTTAAGGAATATATACTATGGACTGTACCATTCCCTCTTAGAGTGGTTTCATCCACTCTATTTAGATGATAAAAAAAATGGCTTCAAGACACAGAATTTTGTCTTTCAGAAGACTATACCAGAGCTTTATGATCTTGTCTTACGGTAAGAGCTTCAATCCTTACAGTCCCAGAACATGTCTCATTTTATTCTGAAGTGGGGGATGAGGGGGGAACGGAGGATAAAACTTAATTTTTGCCTTCTGTCGACAAGGCAGGTCTCTGACAGTGGTCCAAGAGTGGCTTTACTGGTGGTCTTGTATAAACGAGGAAGTTGCAGTGCAGTAGGCTGTTAGCAGCTGCTGACTCAAAACGTGCCTGTGGGGTAGTTTTGAAAGCATGTGAAGCTTCTTTCTGTGCGTGTGGATGAAGAGGCTCCACTCAGGCAGTTGGGTAGCTTGCATGCTGTGAGTCCATGCTCTAGCACCCCTGTGCCCTGAAAACGTGTTATTTGACATTATCTACTGGCCATTCTCCCCTGTGTGGGATGCATTTTATCCTTGCCTTTGAGCTACAGCTTTTATTAATTGCCTTTTCTTGCAAGAATGCAGGCCAATTTATGAGCACTGCTCACACCCCCTCACTGCTACAAGAACTGCCCTCAGGTTGAATGTGTTTCACTTGGGACACGTTTCCCAAATTATGTTGTACAGCAAGAAAAGCTTTGACTACCTTTGTTTTCACTTCTTACACCCAAAGGGGAAATCCCATTTTGTGGTGGTCATTACTCTGGGCTAAACTGGAAGTAGAAGAAAGGAGGAATGTTACCTTTTTTTAGTGTCCTCCTTCTGTCTCTTAGGTACAAGCCAGATTTGATTTGGTCAGATGGAGACTGGGAGGCTCTGGACACGTACTGGAATTCGACCTCTTTCCTTGCATGGCTTTATAATGACAGTCCTGTCAAGGTACTGCTGTCAGCGTTTCCTTTATGTCCTCTGGTCTTTCCACTAGTTTTGGGGAAAAATTGGGCAGCTTCTAATATCAGCTCTATCCAAATCAAATCGATTTGACTGATCCCAAACATGAAGTGTTTGGAACAGGGGCATCTAAAGTATTTCACTCATAAAAGCAACTCTGCTTCTTACTGTGAAGAGATCCCAGTCACCAAACAATGCAGAACCGAAACCAGTTTACTTGAGAACATTTGTTACAGCAGAAGCATTAAGGGTCTGAGACAGAGTCCTCTCTTAACTATACTGCTCCATTGTAGGATACAGTTGTGGTGAATGACCGCTGGGGGAAGAACTGCTCCTGCCACCATGGTGGCTTCTACAACTGTGCTGACAAATACAAGCCGGGCATCCTGCCGGATCACAAGTGGGAGATGTGCACTTCTGTTGACAAAAGGTCCTGGGGCTATCGAAGCAACATGCAACTTGCTGAGCTGACAGATGCATCCAGCATCATCAGAGTAAGAGCCCTTAGGCAGAAATAAGGGGGTTAAAGGTTATGGAGGGTCAGAGGTCCTTGCTGAACTTCTGTTGTCTGGGCAGAATCTTTCCAGATATTTTCTGTGCTGGTTATACCTGATAGCAGGTATAAAAGGAGCAGCTTGCTGCAATCCAAGTGTCTTCCATTTTCTGCCAGAGATGGAGATGAATCAAATTCATATTGCCTTCCTGTCCCTGTCACAGGATCTAGTGCAGACCGTGAGTTTCGGAGGGAACTATCTTCTCAACGTGGGCCCTACGAAAGAAGGAGTGATTGTGCCAGTCTTCCAAGAAAGGCTTCTGTCCCTTGGAGAGTGGTTGGGCATTAATGGGGAAGCAATTTATGCATCCAAGCCATGGAGGGTGCAGGTGGAGAACAGCACGAACAATGTATGGTAAGAGCTGCAGTATCTTGCACCACATGGGAACATTCCCTCCCTTTGGACTGCCACTTCCTATGCAAAGAGGGGCCAGGCTGCAGTTCTGAGAGGGGGCAGGGAGGCGTTGGTGACTGGTCAGTTGTAGTCATCTTTACTCAAGAGTATAGAACTACAGCCCAGCAGAGTGCACTGAGAATACTGTAGTGTCTGTGCATTAAAACAGCATTAGCCCCTTTAAAAAATAGAAAGTTAAAACCAAACCGCCTTCATTTTGCATGAAGCTTCTTCCAATAATGATTGTTCAACTATACATGGTATTACATGGGTACATCTCACTTCCAAACTGCTGTGTGTTAATTGTGTAATGTGTTGTATTTCACACTAGCTGGGTACGCACTAGCTGATGTATAATGGTCTTGTGCCCTGTTGCTCAACTGCTGTGTTTTCTCAAAAGGAGGAAATGCGTAATATGTACGTTAGCAGGACAAAAGTGCTGAAAAACAAAGTTGTTTTTGGAGAGTAGGCTAGAAATGCTGAGCAATAAATTGATTTCTTGAGACCTGTAAAATAGCTTTATTCCAGCTACTGACTGCAGCAGCATGGAAAGAGAACATTATTATTACAGCACCCTGTCCACTCACAGGGAGCATGCATGGACTTTGCCTGTCTGGCACTGATCACTGCTGGACTTTGTAATGGATGGACTGTGGGTAATAGGGTCACTTACTTTCCTAGCTACTAAGGCGGGGGGGGGGACCACTAAGAGACACTTACACTTTACGTCTGCAGGGAAGCTGTGCAGAAAGCAAAACATTCAGCTGCCTCTCTGGTGCCGTTCAGATCTCTGAAATGCCTTGTATTCCTTCAGGTACACGTCTAAAGGTCCAATTGTTTACGCCATCTTTCTGAACTGGCCTCGGGATGACATGCTGAAGCTGTCTTCACCTATTCCATCTTCAGACACCGAAGTAAGGGACATAAGCTAGAGAGAGAATTCTGGAGATCCTTCTCTGATGCACAGAGGGCTAATTTAGATCCCATCACACACAACTTGAAAATTGTATGTGGCTTTTATCTATTAAGCCTGCCTTTGAGTTTTCAATTCCAGAGAGGTCACAAAGAACCCTGTTTCCCCATGCCATATGCTCTCTGCCCTTGAGGCGTGTTCAGTGTTTTAAGCCATCATCTTCCCATTTGGAAGACTGGATAGGACTTGCCAGGGCTGCTGCTTATTTGGCCAAAGCATAAATCAGGACACTTCTTCTCCAGAGTTCCAGTTGTGGCACGAGGGGAGCTGTGTGTGTCCTGGATGTCAGTAGTGAGCACCCTGACGTGATGATGCCAAATTTTGTGCCATTTATAATGAACAAATAGTATTTCCAGCCACCAGAAGTAAAATGTCCCTGAGGAAGAACTACAGCCAGATGCTCAGCCACACCTTGTGTTATAATCTGCACATGGGTAAATTGGGTACTTATGGAGACCACCAGAGTGTTTTGAAGTCTCAGTCCCTGGGCTGCTAAGAAATGTCAGTTCTACTGCTGCTGCTCATTCAAAGGGAAAGCATTTTGCCTGAAGCAATGCATGAACATACTTTCTTTTCTTTCTTTCCTTTTGTGCAGGTGACCTTGTTGGGATTCTCTGGGACTGTGAAGTGGGAGAAGTCCCCAGATAAGGGATTACTGATCACTCTGCCCTACATATCCCCATCTGTTTTACCTATGCAATTGGGCTGGACCCTCAGGCTGGAAGGTGTAAAGTGACAGCTGTTGAAAAGAAGCCTGGAATTACTACTTTAATTTTTAAGCCAAAAGAATCTGAATAAATCATTTATTCTTTCTCATCTAAGAGCTTAACTTACCTAAGCCACTCCGGCCAGGAAAGACTGGTGGTACACACACCAACATACCACCAGACATTTTAGATGGGAGTGAAGGCCTGATCTTTTTCTCCACCCGTCTGCTGACCAATGAAGAAGTTTGCCATGACTTCCACTAGTCCTGTTCTTTTGTTGGATTGTGACTAGGGTCAGGCTTCTAAGACTTACTGTGAGATCTTTAGCTGGGCTTCTTTGCAGATGTTGATTTGCTGCTTTGATTTAAGGCTATGTGTCCTCATAGACACAAGATGAGTTGGGAGCAGGAACAAAAATAAGTGTGGAGTGTCTACAGAGGTGGTTGAATTGAGAGCTACAGCCAAGATGACTGAAAAAAACTGAATAAATGGCACCTCAATAATATGGTAATAGGGTGCTTTAGAAGTGCCAGAGACATAGGCCCTGCTGCCAAGGGGTCTTTGTGCTGCAGGAGAGTTTGGGATTCTGATAATCACCATATTCAGTGTGCAGCTGGGGTCCACAAGGCTCTATGGACAAATAGAAGCCACTCTTCATGTTTACATTACTTTTATAATCGGGGAACATGCGTTGGACTGGCCTGCATGGGGCTATCACTGCACCAGGGAAAGGAAAGCAGGAAATGTGCACTGTTGGAAGACGGGAGCTGGTGTCCTCTGCAGCTACATTAACAGAACTAGCTTGGGAGCTCTGAAAACACCTGCTGACTGATTTTAAATCAGATTCTCTACTTGTTTTAAATTTCAATCTGTCTCTAAACAAAATTTGGTATCTTAACTCTTTTTACAGTGGTAGGTAAAATGATTAAATATCTTCCACAGGATGAATCTTTTATGGGTATAATTGAAGTGTAACTGAAATCAAGCATGATGCCTTCTCAGATTTGTATGGACAATGTACTTAAAATAAAACCTGCGTTTGGAGAAAACATGGCTGCATTCATTTCACGTGAACTAGAGCTGAAATACAAGGAGTGATTTATAAGTATAAAGCAAACCTTATGGGTATTTGAATTGGATGTCACTAAGGAACTTGCCAAATCTTTTTTTTTTTTTTTGCTAACATTGATGGGAAACCCAGTCACCTCTACATTTCTGTTGCTAAGTACAGTCATCCCTAGGGGTGTTCAGGACTGGGTGGTGAGCGTGAAGTTGACCATGGCTGTGGCAAGGCCTGTACGGCACTGTGAGCAGGGCCCAGGGAGTTGCCGGTCTCCCTCTCCCCCCCCAAGGGTGACCCGGGCTGAGCATATTGATGTGGTTTGACATGGAGACCACTCTCATAGTTTCATAGGGGCTGGAAGGGGCCTTACAGATCATCAGGCCCAGCCCCCTGCACTCGGGCAGGAAAGACAGCTGCCATCAGGTGCCCCCAGCAAGGTGGGCAACTCTCAACAGCTTAGTCTTGATGTGGCCCGACTCCAGCCCAGCGCTGCCTGGTTGCTGACAGCCCGACTTTGTTGTGTGAAGGGTGGGTTCAACCCCGGTGACACGTATGAAAGGCTCGTGCCCGAGTCTCTACTTGTACTGCAGGCAGTTCGGAGAACAGGGCGCGCCGCCCTTGCCTGCGGGGGCCATGCTGGGGCCCGGCATCCCGGTGCTTGAGCAGGGATCCTGGTGCTGCTCGGCGGGGCCAGGCACTGCGCCCCTGGCCTGCACACACCGGAGCTACTTGCTGGCACGAAGCAAGGCCGCTTTCTGCGCCGCCCGGCCACGCCCGCAGAGCTCGGGGCGGCGCCAAGGCAAACAGCGCGGCTTCACGGCACCGCGGTGTGGAAACGGGGCCGCGTCCAACACAAAGAGGCCGGCGCCTACGAGTAGCGGCCCCGCCCGGCGCCGGGCGCACGATGCCGCGGGCAGGGGCGGGCCCCGCGCCGC